ACATGGACCCACCTAGTACGACATTCCTCCTGGCGGTTTGCAAGCCTGTTGTGTCGTGGGCAGAACCCATGCAGGATTTCTTTCAACTATATATAACTGTGTGTCTATGATAACCCTGGGGCAAGTCAAGTGCCCCCCCTACCCCCGAGCAAAAATACTAACAACAATTTTTAAAAAAAATATGTGATAATAAACTATCAAATAGTCATTTTTTAAAACAATTTTTAAAAGAATATTATCTGGTGTCTTTAACTTTAACCGATTATAAATAATGGAATAAAGGAAATATCGCTGCGCTCGATATATTTGATGATCCGTATATTTAAGGCTAATCTTCTAAGAAACGTACATTATTCGATTATAAATCTCGCAATGTTTCGAAAATTTGGCGGCGTCCGATTATGAGCCGAAGTATTACTTCCCGTTGTTCGCATTTATCTTTATTTGTTTGAAATTATTTTTTTAAAACTCAAAAGTTTAAAGACTTTATTAACACTGTATTAAACTATATTCGTTCAATTTTAAGATCAATAATTTTAATAGAGAGTTGTCACTAAGTATCAAACGTGAGCAATCTTTTCATGTTTTCAAATTATATTGTATTTATAATAAGAGCATGACTTTTAAAGTAGTGAATGTTGTTAATCATAAATTATAATATGATTATGATGGCCTCGTGCTATAAAAAAAAAATATATATATTAAAATGTCATTTTAAATGTACTCGACTCCATGTACGTTAAACTCGAAAAAATGAAAACTTAAAAAAAAAAACTGATACTTTTTTTTCCTTCAAAATTAAGAATTTAACGGGCACATACAAATTGTTCACATTTCATCAATTATTACAGCGAAAGCGTGTGTTTTTCCTATAAAGTGCTACTTTTGTAACAATGTTTCCTGAATAATGGGTATTTAAAAAAATACTTAGACTATATTTATTAGATTCCCAACTGATTTTCTTTTTTTTTAATATTACAATAATAAACAATTTGACCCATCTGTTTCCAGACACTATTTTAAAGTATATTTTTAGATGACGAGAATCCAGTAGACAGCTATATAAACGTTTATGTGTAATAGCAATTCGACTTAATATGCCGAATTCATTTTTGGCACTAATTTTAAAAGTAATTTTTCTTCCAAAAAGTTACGATTGAAATAATTGATACAGATGTGTTTAATAAAGTGTGTTAATATAATATGTTGAAGAGGCAATTTGTAATTTATCTGCAGAAAGTTATAATAGTTTGAAATTTCAAAAAATCAATACAATCAGCTTAATTTTGATAACATTATACTTTCTTTTGAAATGATTTGCTTTAGATAAAATAACACATAAATAAATAAATGATGTCATTTGTAAACATCAACAAAAAAAAATTATGCCGTTCAAATACGATTTATAAAAATAACCAGCAATTAAAACCCATACAAATTTATAGAACTTTCCAATTAACAAGTTTAAAAAAAATACTTTTTGACTGTGTTAAAATTTGGAAAGATTTAGAAAATGTAGTCTATTATAAATAAGCTTTGTTTTTCCATTTGCGTTCAGCGTATAGAAGGGTGTTTGCAGTGCTTTTTACTGATGGGACCCTTTTCCATCGATTTTTTTAAAAAGTTAATTTAATAATTAAGTAGACATCGCCGTAAATAATGTCAATAACAAATAAAACCCACATTACTAATTTTAGCTGTATATTTTATTTTATTTTTGCATAACACAAGCAGGTCAATCACTGTTCTGTTTTGCCGCCCCCCCCCCCTTTTTCAACCCTGCACTGAAAGATGATGAATAAGAAAATATCCTCATCACATTTTTAAACCTCTAAAATATCCGAGGCACCCTGCTTCGTAGGGCTTGCTGGTCGCACACGATGGTTCAAAGGTTAAGTGAAACCTACATTTTTAAACTATGGTCTCTTCCGTTGCTCTCCAATTCGGTGTACAATGTAACAAAAATAAATTCAGATACGTGATAGTATGCATATTTCTATTTTGAATTAATCCACACACACAAATTTGGGGAACATAAAAATTAAAGGAGCGAGAATAATCTGGGGCAAAAGCTTACCCTCAAGTGTGCCTCAAATGGAATGAATTTAAATTACGGAATTTATTGCTGAATTTAAGATGTCTTTGATCATTATTGTGGCTAATTTGGCCATTTCCTCACCGGAATTTTGAAATGCCACCTCAAAATTGTCTGTAAGAAACATCAAATTCAAGTATGCGCCAAAATGAATCCTTACATTTTGAGTTTGCCCGACTGTCTTTATCACACTAAATTTCTGCATCCCCTTCTCTCACGCTGATCAGACTTACAGTATGGGGTTGATTATAAGCTTGTGCCAAATGATTACCCTGGGGCACGCCACAACCGGAGTGAATTCAGTTTATGTATGACACTGGGCGCCATAATTCCTCCCACAAAACCTTAAAAATGTCCTTACCAGTTCAAAAAGTATAATAGAAACATTGAATTCAAGTATGCTAAAAAAAAAAAAACCTCTTGATTTTGAAATAATAAAATAATTATGGGAGAGCAGGCTCCCCAGACCCCTCCACGGATGAAGATTCAGCGGCGCCCTCGGTTTCCGCCCTACTTCCCGATGAAAATAATCGCCGATTTGGTATCAAAATACACACTGCCTATAGTGGCGTAGCTATTATTGGTGCCGACATGGGGGGTCAAATAATTTTGCCGCCCTCCCTTTCACGACACACACTGTGCAATTGTCCAAAAAGCCACACTTGCATGTGAAGAAAAAGTGACACCTGCGTGGACCACCCCATCCACCTTAGTCAATGAAAAATCAACAACCAAGGTGTGACTATCTTGGTCAATGAAATATGGACAACCAACACTGTCTGAAGTTCTGTTACTGTGTTACTCATGATGAACTTAGAGGGTCTTACGTTGCCTTGCATAAATTGTACCATTTATACTCCACTACTCTGATACTCTGAACCCTACACTCTATATGAACTACAAACATAAATGAGCTTTGCTAGATATTAAACTTCCTGGCACCTAGCACGATATAATGCAGGATGCGGACCACCCTGGGCTGGGAGTGTAAGTCACGTGTTGACAAAAGGGAACCGGGTGGAAAACACGTGTTGCTCTTCCGTCGTCCTTTATGGATAAAAAAAACTAGTTAAAATAGCGTTGTGTTTTGTGATAACAGCGTTTAAGCACGGCAACAAAACTCCCGCCATTTCTTTTATCAGTAAACTATTTATTCCAAGCATTTCTTTTCCTGGGCGAGACTGAAAACTTGTCAAGCACTTAACAAAGTCAACATCCTTGATCTTGTTCTGTTCAACTCATCAGGCGTACGAACGGAAAGCCCTGGATTCAAAACATTGTGGCAGCGTTTACGTAAAATTTCTAGCTTAGCTCAGTTGTCGGCGAACTTTTTGTTTTTAGCAATGGTCCCAAAATATATTAATTTGTTTGGCGCCGACTTTACTCCAAATTTAAAAGGGGGAGTATTCATTTTAAAAAAAAAATCCTCTACCCTCCGATTCACAACTCGTCTATTCCATGTCAACAGACTAAGCGTAGTGATCCCGTCCCTTTCTTCACACTTTTCTCTGACATTTCGTGTGGTTGTTCCATTCTTATTGGTTTTCTCCTACTCTGTAATCTTCAGTTACCGTATATTTAGTTGCACTATTCATATGTTAAACCCAAGACACAAGATGTAAACATCTTAATTAAGGAATATTCAAATGAAGCAATCGGTAGTGTGTTTTATTACAGCTATAATGAATTCTATTGCAATAGACATTATGATATAATTAAGTATATACAGCTATAATGAGTCAAAGATATAATGATATAATGATTTAAAGATAAAATGATTTAATGATATTAAGATATAATGATTTAAAGAAATGTAAAGATAAAATGAGGTAATGATATTAAGACATAATGATTGAAAGATATAATGCTATAATGATATAAGATATAATGATTTAAAGAAACTTTAAGATAACATGATAAAATGATATAATGTTTGATAGATATAATGATATAATGTTTGAAAGAGATAATCGTAGATTGAATTTCCAACAAAAAAAAACTCTCTCAATTTACTGTATTTTGGGGAAGTTTATACTACTTCAGCTTCCCACAGAGGAATCACCTATTCATAAATACAGTGAGTTTTCACAAATATATCCTATCTTCTTTATATTAATATGCCATTTCTGCACAGTTCATAAAAAAATGACCAGTTTTAAATAGGTCTAGCTAATTTTTAAAAAATTCATAGCAGTTTTCTTCAAAATAGTACATGTTCCCTTTTTTGAAATCTGTAATCCTTTGAAATAAAAATGTTAAATAAATGCAAAAAGTTCATTATTAATTTACGCCTAATATAGGAACTGGTAGATGCCCCTAGCCCCCCCCCCCCGACCTATCTAACCACCTGAAAGAGCACACCCCATCCCCATTCATATTGCCTAAAAGAAATGGACTAACCTCCACCCAAATGCTTTTTTTAAGGTTTACTTGAATAGGGTAGAGCGGAATATGCTGACTCAATTAATTACTTTGCTTAAGGCCCCGGATGCTGTTAATACGGCCCTGATACAGCCTAAGATCCATGATCAATACTGGTGAACAATTGAATTCGTAAACATTTGCTTGGCGTGCGCATTAATATGATATGTTTGTTTCATTCAAAGAGAGGATATCTTCGGATAACTTGAAAAAGTGCGTTTCGTACAACTGTTCTATCCTCGAGTAGAAATATCAGAGGAGCATTATTTTTATTTTCAAGCCTAGCTAAGTTTTAAATGGATAGTTCTGCACTTCTTTGTTGCATATTTATCAAAATTTACATCTTAAAAATGGAATTATTATTTTTTTTTTTACAAGAGGCAAACTATTCAATTTTTCGCTATTTTGACAATCGCATTTTTTAAAATATTTATGAAAATTTAGGCACTTAAAATTGATTTTTTTTTAAATACAACTAAGAAGAGGCACAGTTTTCTAATCCTGTAAATCATGTTTAACCGATGCGTCGGACACAATCATGTCTGTTAAATCTTTGTATTGGTTTAAATCAGAGATTCTCAACCCTCCTAATGCCGCGACCCAGTTCCTCGTGTTGTGGCGACCCAAATCACAAAATTATTTTAGTTGCTACTTCATAACTGTATTAGTATGTGTTTTCCGATGGTCTTAGGCGACACCAAAGGGGTTGAGAACCACTGGTCTAAATAATATTTATTTTGACTCATCAGTGGTTAACATAGTTTGTTGGTCCTGATAATTGTGTTCGAACACAATCGTTACCATTAATTAATGGTTACATTTTAATAGTCACTTTCATCACTGATTAACTCATCATATGAATCATGTACACTGTCGTCACTAGACTCAGTCTCTTTAACTAGATATTTTTTTAAGAACGACAGATGGAGAGAAAGGTTTCTAGGTTCACTTGTGTTTTCAACGATGGGAGGAATGTCTGTGTACAACAATGCTGCTTGTAGGATGGGGGGAAGATTGGTCTTTTCTATCCTGGCTTGTCTTCCTGGAGCTGCACCAACGACCCAAGAGACGGCTACAAAACTCAGAGTTTCTAGTGATAGTGGTTGATGTGATGCATCCTGTGTAAATTGTAAACACTCAGGTAAAAGGTGCTTAGAGAGTACTTTATTTCTTCTAAGCAACCAGAGATCTGATTTAGTCAGATATCTTATTTCAAAGAAATATTGAGCCAGCTTCACGTTGTTCAGAAGTAATGCTACGCCTAAAGGTGATATGAAGGCCTCTGATTTGTACCAACCTCTGATTCGTTTGTGTAGTGGGACATCTAGCGGTCCTATACCAGAAGAAATAAATTTTGTGGCTAGTGACAAACATCCAATGGATATCAGGACGTGGATAACGCATGGATTTACTTTAAGTACATGGACATCATGAGCAATTAGTCGATGGATGCATTCCTTTGTTCTCGATGAGGCCCTCGGAATTGACTTCAGTAAAATGTCCAATGTCGTTGTCGGTTTGCTACCAGCGGTACAAAGATTTACATCTGCCCCAGCTTTCAGCAAGGTTTCCAGTGCAACGCTGTCAAGATGTTTTGCAGCTATCATTAATGCTGAAAATCCTTTTTTGTTCTGATGATTCACGTCCAAGCCAGCTTTTATAAAAATATCTAAAAGTTATCGCGTGTCTTCCCCACGTTGAATCAAATAAATTAGCGGGTTGTCACCGTCTTCATCTTCAACGTTGACATCAGCACCATGTTTCACTAAACATTCAATAACTTCTGTGTTTGTTGAACCAAATATAGGACTTTGGCCAGAGGAGTCCCTAAAGTTTACATCGGCCCCATGTTCAATTAAAAATTCAATTTTTTCTGTATTGCAGTTCGACGACGCGGCATGAAGTGGAGATGCACTTCCAGGACCAACGTCGTTGACATCAGCTCCAGCATCAAGTAACATCTTTAAAAGACTTATGGAATGATCTGTTTCTATGGCACAAGAGAGTGGCGACTGACCATTATGGTATACTTCCTTACATTTCGCACCGTGTTCTAAAAGTTTGGCAAGGATGTCCCTAATCCTTTCATCACAATCAGAAAGTTCAATTCCTTCAATATTTCTCCATCTATTGTTAATGTTCCTATGGTAATCGTGAGATAAAGCGTAAACAAGGGGGGTGCCTTTCCCGCTTGTCACGAGGTTAACATCAGCTCCACATTCAATCAACAAGTCTATCATTCCGACATCCATAGCATGCATGAGTGGTGTCTTACCATTGACTTCTAGATTGATATGAGCTCCATTTTCCAGCAGAAATTTGACAGTCTGTGAGTCACTTTGACCTATTGCCTCATGCAAGAAGCTGGACTGGGTTATTGCTACTTTACCATCCAAAGGGAACTTTTCGACTAAATATTGGAGAGAGTTGATCCTCTTGCTACTCACAGCTGCCGAGATTGCTAACCTAACATCAATATTCGCGCCATGTTTGAAAAGTTCCCTTGCACAATCAAACTGACCGTTCTGAATTGCCTGATCTAAGGGCGAGCTCCTGTACTGAATTTGTCCTCGACTGTCCAATTTGTTCACTTCAGCGCCAGTGTTAAGAAGCAAACACAGGATATCCTGTCGTCCTATAGCGGCAGCCGTCGATAGCGATTTGTAGGAGCCGATGAATCCGTGGTTACAAAGAATTTGAATCAGCTTCAAGTCTGCTAGACCCAATGCGAGCTCAATCACCGCGTCTTTATCATCTTTTAGCTCGTCATTTTGACCCAATTTTTCACAGAGAATATTTACAATTTGATATTCAACTTCTTGAACATTGCCTTTGATTGAATTTAAAAAACCAGTAAGTGTACTGCAAAGCTTATTGTCTTGCACACCTATGTTGTAACTTGTTAAAAACAGGACAGATTTGATGTCTCTGTTCAACACGGCTTGGTGGAGTGACCTAACCCCTGTACGCTTTTCGTACCTCATGAGTTTTAAAAGATCTGCTACTCCAACACGTTGAGCTATCTCTTCCACGGTTTCTCCGTCGTTATTAACTATACGCTCGTGATGACCATCAGTTATATAAAGATTTTCAGCGTTTATCAAAAGCTTCGCGACAGAAATATTTTGTGCCTCTAGAGCACTCATTAGTGCAGTATAACCATTATTATTTTGGTGTCTTAAATCTACTTGTGGATGTTCCAACAGGAGTTTCGTCATGGCTGATGATCCAGATGGATAAGTGGAAAAGATCAAAGGAGTCTCACCATATAAATTGATGGCATTAACATTTGCGCCTCTCTGTAGCAGAATCTTTGCCAATTCGCTCATAGATAATTCAGCACATAGCAGTAACGGAGTCATTCCCCTTCCATCTCTGGTTTCCAGGTTGGCCCCATTGTGGAGCAAACCCTGGACAATCAATGGATTCCTTATTTTACAAGCAGTTATCAAACCTGTATCTAGAGCTTTTTGAGAGAACATACCAGTCCGAGAATGGGAAAGAACATTCAGGAGTATGAAAATGTCTGCTGAATTTTGTTGAGTTAGCGTCATATGGAGAAAATTGTCGTTGTTGTCAGTTAAGGTCTCTGGTACAGACTCGTGGTCAAATGGTGACGTCATTGTAGTTGTTCGTTTGTTTTTCTTTTCAAATCAAACTTTTCAAAATTTTGCATTCATGTTAAATTGTTTATAAAACTCGTGGTTTATTTATCAAAGCCACATTAATACATGAATATGTTCCACCATACGTTCCAAACAAAGCCCAGTGCAATATGTTCACACGTGCTTAGACAGTTGATGGTTGAAATCCTTCCCAGGATGTCGCTGACAGTTGCTGAGCACTGCTCACGCATGCATTCACATAAGCTTATCTGGAGACCCTCCAAAAACCACTGCACCGAATCATCTGGAGAAAAAAAAAAGGATTCATGTTTATTCACATGTTTGTAAAATAAAGATGTTATGGTTTGTGGAAGGGCAGCTTTAGGATTATCAGATGGAAAGGATAACCCAGTGGTTTAGCCTGCATCAACTCACAGCATGCCATGTACAAATATGCGTCGAAGTTTTTCTATGAACTCAGATCTTTACAAATTAATGCCAAGTGTTCGAGTGTTTTATAACATTAATTAATATTTAATTAAGGGGACCATTCGTACTGTATTTATTATTGTCGAAATGGTTTTTTTACGACTTTAGTACTGTGTAGTTGGGAGCTGTAACACGTTGAGAAGTGAGAAGTGGTGTGATTAGGTAGTGCGAGATGCGAGCCGCACCGGGTGACATCCTCGCGAGGAGCTGACACCCATTAAATGAAAAAATCGTAAATTTTTACATATCGAGGGAGTCGGTTTCATAACATATCGAAATAAAACACAATTGCAAGGTGCCACCATACAAATATTCACCAGAACAGGGTGCCACAAGAATAGGAAGTCATAAGAATAGGGTGCCATAAGAAACTTAAGCTACGCCAACAATGTTAGGGAAAAACGCACCCGAGGCTTCGTGACGCCAGAAGCGGGTCTTGGTTTCGTGGCGTTCAATTCAAAGAATGGTCACCAGAACAGAGGACCACCAGAACAGAGGAGCACCAGAACAGAAGAGCCCCAGAACAGAGGACCACCAGAAAAGGGGACCACCAGAACAGAGGACTGTGAGAATAGAGGGCCACCAAGCAGAGGGCCACCAGAACAGAGGGCCACCTGAAGAGAGGGCCACCAGAACAGAGGGCCACCTGAAGAGAGGGCCACCAGAACAGAGGGCCACCAGGCAGAGTGCAATCAGACAGAAGGAGGACCAGTAGAAGAAAATTGCAAAATAGCATATTTCCACCATAGCATCTAGTTGCATTTTCCCGTAAGATTAGTGGCGTAGTGTTGCCCAAAGTGTATCCTGATTCAACGGCAGTCACTTCAGATAAAACATAAACTATCATCTCGTAAGGCAATATCTACACATCGCTGGCCGTATCTTGGTCTGAGTAGCTCCGGCACAATGCGCATCGTCCAAGCGTTGTGTTTGATTGAAGTAGATTGAGTATTCTACCCACCCAGGTGTTCTTTCATATATAACTACTTTATCGTACATTCCATCTATGTTTATTTTTTTTTTCTAACCGCATGATACACCTCGCGCAATCATCTAATGCTAAATAACCTTTAATATTAGGACTTACTGCTACATCTTACCGATACTTTGGACTTTAATGTTTTGAGGATCCCGCCTTGAATACAGTAGCTGCTTATTTACTCGGTGCTACTGCACATAGCTATGCCTAAACGTTTTCAACAACACACAAAACTGAGAAACAGGGCTTGTTTCAGTGACGTCATTTAGGTAGGGCAGGGTGGGGCATTAGGCCCCCCCCCCCCTGAATTTGCAGGTTTTATTTAAATTGCTATGAACTCTGGTGCCTCATTTAACTAACAACTTAAAATGCCGAACAAGTTTTGTCCCCCCCCCCCATCTGAAATAACCCTAAATGACGCCCCTGGCTGAGTTTCCCATAAGAATAACCTAGGGCACAGCAGTCAAGGGGCGTATATTATAATTAGCCTACAGACAGTTTTTCCATAATTTCCTCGGAGGGGGGGGGGGAGAAGGGACTTATGATTTTCGGTTGCGCATTTCCATTGGCCATAGGCGTAGCTAAGGGTGGCAGAGGGAAGTAGATGTTCTAGGGGCCCAGACAGGCGGGGCACCAAAATGGGCTCTGGGGGTATTTAATGGATGAAAACTATTGGTTTTAGAGTTGATGGGGACGTAAAAATGAATCATATCCCCTCCAGCTAAGTGCCTGACAGTGGCGTAGAAAAAGGTATGGATAGGGTGATCTGCCCAGGTGTCACTTGTTTCTTTATATGGAGGGGTGGCATTTTTGGACAGCTGCACATAGTTTGTATCGTGCAAGGGCGTGCTGTAAAAAAAAAATATTTGCCCGGCCATGGCGGCCAATAACACTAGCTACGCCATAAAGCAGTGTATCACTGAACACCAAAATTGGAGATCAGAGCCAACTACACTGTTATTTTTATCAGGAAATAGGACAGAAATCGAGGGCGCTGTTGGCTCTTGAGGGGATGGGGCTGGGGTATTATCACAATTATCGGCGTGAGCAACCGGGGGATCGGATATTAAGGGTGCCGAAGACTCTTGAGCAACAACGGGGGCAAGGTTCCCCCTTATGGATTTTTTGGTAGATTAAAAATGCAGTACTGCACTTGAATTCGGTGTTTATTTCATTCACACGTACTAAAGGAAAATATCAGATTTTGCGTTAAAATAGAGATTCCGAGTTATTTATTGCCGTCATATCGCTTGATATCTACATATCTGATAGGAGATACACAAAATTTTCCGTGATCACTTTTGTATAGGCTACTGTTAAGTTTTCTCAGCCTGAAAGATGTTCGCAGAAAAAGTTGACAGCGGTATCGTTAATCATTCAAAGTAGATTTAACAAGATTTGCCCACTTCAATCAGAGCCGTCGCTTAAAATATGAAGACCCCCCTCCCCCCCCCCCCCCCATTTCCAATTTTTCTTTTTTTCTCCCACTGCATCCGACATTAGTAGTTTACTTTGTCTCCATAGCACAACTTTGAGTCCCTTAAATATCAGAGGCTCCTTGAGGCCATGTGGAATGAAGGGTCCAAACGATGGCTCTGTTTCAATAAAACAACAGATGAGTTTTTTTTCTTTTATCCCTGCCTTTAACTGTTTTGCTGTAGATGTTTTTTTTTGACCGAAACGTCCACTTTCTGATGTTTCCTTCTTTAGGTTTTCACATAACCTTTTGTAACTTTTCTTTTTGAAACCATTGAAGCCCTTCCGTGGAAAAAAAGAAATACTTTAAGGAAGATATTACAGTACGTATTTAAAAACGACTTATGGAAATTCGATGAAAATATTTTTTGTACATTCTTATGATATGTCATATAATAAGTAGTGAGGTAGTATAGATTTGAAGTAAAAAAATATTAGGTCTTTAAAAGATTATAAAGATTGTAATAATTGTCTCTGTCTTTCAAAAACACAATATTACATATTGAAAACTATTATATATTAAAATAGGAAATAATTAATAAACTAATTTTGAGAGGGGGAGGGGATCAGAATTATGCGCTTTGGGCTAGTGCGTAGAAATATGTACACCTGGCCCTTCTTTTCAGACTAGGGCGTAGAAATGTGTACATCGGACCCTTATTTTTGGTCTAGGGCTTAGAAATGTGTATATATGTCCCTTTTTTTTGGGGGGGGTGGGTAGGGCGTAGAAGTGTGTAAATTTTGCACTTCTTTAAAACATAATAATATTAGGCCAACGAACTATTATTGACTTTTCAGACTAGGGCGTAGAAATGTGTACATCGGACCCTTATTTTTGGTCTAGGGCTTAGAAATGTGTATATATGTCCCTTTTTTTTGGGGGGGGGGGGGTAGGGCGTAGAAGTGTGTAAATTTTGCACTTCTTTAAAACATAATAATATTAGGCCAACGAACTATTATTGTTTGCAAACTTTACACATAATTTCTCTGTCACGAAAGAGGGCGTGGCTCCGTTGAAAAGCTGGGAGATGTTCAATGCATAATTTTAGCAGATATTGTATTCAATTTAAGCCATTAATTATTGGTTAATAACGCAATGTACTTATTTCAAGGGTGGGTTGAGGTGGGGGGTGGTGGGGTGGGACTTAAACAGCAGGATTAAACCTCGGCTACATGAAGAAAATAACACTGTCGTTAAGAAAAGTGTTTGCTGTGATTTGTCTTTACACCACTTACCTGGACCTGGACTGTACGGGGAATTTTTATGCACATTCTCTTCCTTACTTTTCAAATATTGTTTTTAATTTTTAAAATTGTATCAGATCGGAGCAGATTCTACTAATCAAAATCATAACATTGATAGTTTTTAAAATCCCTTTTGAATGCACGTTATCACTGTAGCAGGCCTTTATTAAACCCTAAAATGTACTTGCACAGTCTGCTTATAACGATATGCTTTTTTTGAAAAAAAGTAAAATATAGCCCTTGGTTCACATACCTGTGCCTGCACACATTACCATATAAAGTGTGTGGTCGAAATTTCCGAGAAAAGGGACCGGTAATTCCCCACTGAAACCGGTGGCAAACAAAAAAATAATTATTATCTGTGGAGCCTTAGGCGTACCATGACAAAATGCCACCCAGGGCGAAATCTCAATAGTGCGCCCCCTCCCCCCCGCCAACGCAAACACCATTTTATATTGTTATATAATACCCTTAAAGTGCCGCACACTTTGCACCCAACTAGGTTCGTAAGTGAGTTGAGCAACCAATACTTAGGGAGGGTATTAGCCACTTCACCACAAAAAATTTAATTCAAAATACAGGGGTGCATTTTGGCACGCACCGGAATTTTGTTTTTTTCATCATTAGACAGAGGTTTCATATGAACAGCTTCGTAACATTGCTCAAGACAAGCAATGTCCCGTATGTCCTCGCTTCAACATAAGTGACCACAACAGTTTGACAGATGTTCCATTACGGCTGTGTTTCCGCTACCAACACACATAAAGGGTTTATGTGGGAAAACAAACTGATACACACCCATGGAACCCTGAAACTACACGGTATAAATGTCATGCAAACTCTCTCTCCCTTCCTCTTTTAATCTCAATCGCTCTCTCAATCTCTCTCCCCCTTTCTATCTCTACTCCTTTACACCAAAACAGTCCGTAGAAGTTTGACCTGAAAATGACTGTTCGTAAATTTCCATATCAAAAACATAAGGATGTCCGTAAAAAAATGAGACATTGCTCAAAGCATATTTAAACGTATATACTTGTGAGGATGTCATACAGTCGGCCCAGTGCTTTCCAAACTGAGTCGGGCACAGCAGTTTGTAGGTGTGTCGCCCGAAAATATACATATCTATACACATCTATAAACATATATGCGCATCCGTACGCATCTATACATATCCATACACATCTTTATACATGTACCCGCATCTATTTACATATATACACATCTATTTGCTTCTATACACATCTATACACATCTTTACATATCCATACAATCTATAAACATCTGTACACAAATATACCTATCTATACACATCTATGCATGCCAAGTTTGTCTGCCTCTGTATTTTTGCCGTCGATTATTTCTTAGTCGCACCGTCCACATTTTTTTTTTTTTTGTATTGCCCTTCTCCGGGTCTTCTTCTTACCCGTGTATATTTCTTTTTACACTTAACCAGAGGGCAAGAGAAGCGATGCAAGGGAAAATATAGTTTCCCTGACCTGAATGTGATTATACAAAACATTTATTTCTTTAGTTCCAACCAAATAGTAATGCTGCGTTATAATTTTTATTTAAACTATGTATTCGTTAAAACTGCTTAATAAATAAATGCTTTTTAAACAAATAATAATAATTTTTAAAAAAACAACGAAAAAAAAAGGGGGGAAATAAATATATAGCCTGTCATTCCAAGGCATTTGCAATGATTCGGGTAGACTACAAGATGCGCTTCAATTGGTAACTGTTGTTGCTGTCACACATTTGAATGGAATCAAATGGTTTAGCCTTAAGTTAACGAAATAGAAACCTTCTTATATTGCAACTTTATTTCTTAGCTAAGTTTTTTTCCTCTTTGATCTGCGTTACAATCAGGGTTTCTTTCAGCTATATCTCTGGGGGGGGGGAACCCCCGGGG